CCAACTCTCGCATTGGAGGATGACTGCTCTAACCACTCAGCCACAACCGCCCCAATGGAGCCACTGTAATTTCCTGAAAGGTGTGCAAATGATGGCAGCTGCTAAAAAGGAAAGGTTTTGTGTTCTCCATTACATTAACTGCTTTTGTCGGGCCACTAGTCTTCCCATTAAAGAACAGGGAGACAGATATCCAGACAAAAACACATTTGTTCACTTTTGCCCTTCAGCAGTGGATAATGACAACACAAACTACACATGCAAATGATTTCCTGATACGTTTATTGGTATGATAATAAAACATTTATGAGACTTTTGATTTAATGGTGAATTATTAGTGGTGGCACAGAGGTTGGAAAAGGTGGGCATATGATTGGAAGGTCGCAGGTTCAACTCCCCAGACAGACAACATTTAAAAAAAAGTGGATTGGATAGTTGATGCACCCACACCTGCCTCCACCTTCATTTGCCCCACCCTGGGCTCTTGAGCAAGGCCCTCAACCCCCACCATCTGCTCCCCCGGGCGCCCTAGATGGCAGCTTTCTGCTCCACACAGAGGGCTGTGGTAGCTCGGTGGTTGCGTCAAGAAGGGCATCCAGCATAAAACAAAAAATAAAAAAAATCAATCACCAAGTCTTCATGTGAGTTAGTTCACTGTGACAACCCCTGAAGAAGGGTGCAGTTGAAAGAAGAACAATAATTCAAATAAACTCATTTTATTAGAAGTTAGTGAGGTATTTTCAAAGTTTCAAATTTAAAGAAGAGAGTTAATGTCTAGTTTAAAAAGTTGCTGAAATAAGGAAAAACAACAAAGATCAAAAGTGTTGCTATAAATTACTCTGGTACAGTTTACAGTGCACCTTCTTTCCTACAAGTAGTCACGGCTGTGCTGAAATGATCACAGGTAAATAATTCTCGCATATGAAAAGAAAACAAAACTGAAAGTGAAGAAAGAGCCGATACTCATAATATCAGACACACTTTAAAACTTAAAACAAATAAACTACATAATTTTAAAGTTTGTATGGTGTCAGTGCTGCTGCTGCCCACAACTACAGCATAACTGTACTGATAAGCCTACATTTTAATGTATGAACTGTTTAAGGCAAGAGAATAAAAGAAAAGTTAAAGCTGCTGTTAGTAGGTCATAATGATCACCATGGTAACCACAAAAATATGTGTCTGTCACTCCCTGACTGCCATTAACAAAACTTACATGATGGTCGTACGGAAGAAATTTAGTTTCTACAGTGCTTTTCGAAGGAGATATGACGGGTTCCAAAAATTGTGCACGTCCAGTTTTAAAGAAAAACTGTTAGGCTAAAATATAATCGACGTGCGTGGAAGTGTCAGGGTGCATCTTCTGTATTCTGGGAGGAGCTGTGAGAAACTCCAAGTCCTACAGCTGAGACACTGTATTAAAGAAGAAAACCATGTCTGTTATGATGTAGAATTTGTACCCATGATATCTGTATGAGTAACAAAAGTTTGTTTGCTAAAAAATGATTTTTTTTAGACAAACATAAAAGGAAATAGAGTGTATGACACCAAGTGCTATTTGAACATTCTGTCAAAATAAATCAATTAAAAATATGAAACATATACTGTGATTGTGCAAAAACTGTAAAATATACCGACATGTAAAATCCAACGTTTTATGACCCGTTTATACTTTGACTGATGTTTTTACTGTGACGTCTGTTTGAGATACGCACTTCCAAAGAAGGCTGGGCTTTCTCCAACATCCACTGGGTCTTTCATCAGGATTTTGCAGATTTTGTCTATGATGTGTGATATGCCACTAACAAAAGCCAAAGCACACAATATCAGATCAAGCTGCACATTTCGGTGTACAATTTCAACGTTTTAGTGCGACGAGGTACAGGACAGCAACATTGGCCAAATGATTTGGCACTTTGACGAAAAAGGAAACAGAATAAACTAAAGAGTGAACCTGTTGATGTTTCTGGCTGCCCTGAGAGCAGACTTCATCGCAGTTTCAATCCACCCATGTGGGGTTGCTGTGTGCTCTCCCGCAAAATGAACCCTCCCCTGGCTCTGGAACAGTTCTTTGGCGTACTGACCCTGCTGGAAGGGAGTGAACAAGGCAAAGGCTCCAAGACTGTAAGGGTCCAAGCCCCACTTCTTCACCAGCCCCCCTGTGCACAAAGGCCTAATGTGCTCCCCGTGGATTTTCACTAAGTCCTTCAGAACCACAGCCATCAGGTCCTCCTTACTCATCCCCTGGAAAAGTGTGGCGTCATCAGAGCAGGTGTAGGATGCCAGGAGGGCACCTGCCGCTGTGTCTGGGAAACTGTGGCTGGGATAGAAGATGAAGCGAGAGGGTCTATCAGTGACACTCTTCCCACCTCTGATACCTTCTTGCTCCCAGAAACGCTCCTTGAAGCTGAGCACCACCTTTGTGGAGCTGGCATAATGAACAGAGCGCAGCGCCTCCATCTTGTCCTCAAACAGAGGAGGCTGAAAGTCAATAAACAGGGTGGCCTTGGCTGTGGCAGTAACGAGGACGTAGTCCACAGTTAGGTTCATCAGGGAGCCCAAGTTATGCCAGTCCTCATAGGTAAGCGTCACATTATCACCCCCTGTTTGGTTTATTAGCTTGACCTTGGAGTTGAGTAGAATGGTGGCATTCAACGCTTGATAGAAAGCCCTGGGAAGGTGGTCAAAGCCATCTGTCACTTCAAAGTACCTGCAAGAAACACAACAGCTAAAACATTTCAATTACCACAGAAGACCAAACTGTAAATTACATTTTCACAAATAGGTTTGGATCAAATAAATGTACTTAACTGTCAGAAAACCCTGACATCTCCTCATTAACTCTGTATTTTTTTATTGCTTGGGTTCAGTAAAATCTAAAATTGATATCCTAACAGATAAGAAGCACCTTTTATGCTGCATCATTGCACCACTATCCACCAGTGCATTATTATACTTATTCACAGTTGAATACACACTAAAATGTTTTTTCTACAATTATCAAAACTTTACACTCAAGTAAACCTGTCCAGATTTGCACAACTGCAAACACGTCAGCCTCACAGTTTATTAAAACACCACACACACTTGTCTACTCTTCACCTAAAACACATAATGATGACACTTCCTGTTAATTCTAAGCCATGACTTTTCAAAGGAACCAAGTGGTTAAATACATCCTGTGCATGTGCAAACATATGTATGTGTTTGATTGAAAACAAACATCAGGTCTGTAGCTTGTAGCTGGAGAAGTGGATTCAGCATGGTGTATCTTCCCACCGTGCTTTTCAAACGAGACAACATCCTGTGAGCTCAATGGAAAATTACACCCAGGTCTAGGTAAGTGCAATGCAGGGCAAATGTTCCCCATAGAAGCATATAAAAATCTTTTAAACTCCTGTATTTTTTTTTAAATGTAACCTAGCATACTCACTCTAATTTTGTCTTCTTAGGCTAAGTTTAGCTTTCAGCTACTGTTTTGATATTTTATGCTTTTGGGCAGTTTTAATTTTAGATTTTTACTTGTATTTTTTTTATTTTTTTTTATTTTAGTGTTATCTACTGTTTTACATTTTTTTTATTTTTCCACTATGGTTTTGCTAAGATTAGCTTTCATCTATAGTTTTCCAAATTTTGGTTTTATCTACTCTTCTGCTAATTTGAGCTATTATTAAGCTAATTATAACTTTGTTATATATTTTTACTTTAACTTTGCTAAACCTTTTAGCTCCTATTTAGCTCATTTTAGTTTCTAGCTGCCATTTAATAGTGTAAATGCTTCTGAAGCATTCACACTGAAGCATTCACACTATTGGGATACATTTTGTACGTTTTTAGGTGCAATTCTCGTCCTGCAGTTTTTAAGCTCAACAAATCATATCAAAATGTTCAGTTTTTTCAGGACAATCCCCCCTCCCCCAAGGGAGAATTCACCTGCATGTGCCGAGCATGTGAGTCTCGCATGCTTACAGAGCAAGTTTTGCTCCATGGAGCAGGAGGACAAATTGAAGATAGAGAACTTTACTAATTGGCTTTTATGTATGTGAATGTTCCTGTAAAGTGCCCTGAGACAACTTTGTTGTGATTTGGCGCTATATAAATAAACTGAATTGAACTGAATTGAAGCTATTGATCAAGGACTTCCTGTTAGGCTAATGTATTTTTTATTTTTTTTAACCAGCCGTGTTACTGTGACACTATGAAAGAAAACAAGGCATGAAAATAGTAGCCCCCCATTTTATTTGTTTGCTATAGATTACTTACAGCCAGAAACTAGCGTTAGAATCTATTGTACCTTGTAATGTATGGGTTTCCCCTTCAGAAGTCGCTCAGTGCTGTGTGTATATAGGTTGACGCTCTGGCAGGCTGAAGAAGTCCGCCGTTGCTGAGAAAACAGCCTGC